TGGCACGACGAAAATAATCGCTTCCTCGATCGACCGTCGACCACGACCTTGTGCCATTCCGTCGCGCGACGCGTTACTTTGTACTCAGTGATACTCAGTTTCCATCGTTTCGCGAATAATCACACATCTCTGGATATATATTCAGCGCCCAGATGCCGACATCGCCTTATGTCTCTCGGATTAATCAAATCGACGCTGTTCAACTAGATGAGGAAATTTATAAAGTGCTTAGAAATCAAGCTAAGAAAATTAGCAAATATCAATCAATAGAAAAGATCGATCAGTGGCAACCTGAAATCGATGCAGTTCTCAAATACTTTATATGGAATTTCTCGCTGCGCCATGGAAAATCAACCTTTGGTCAGCAACTGCTCAATTTGCATTACGAAAATATTAACAGCGCAAAATCCGTTCTGTATTTGATTTCAATGATCGTACCTGCGTATGTGCGAGATAAATTTAAAGACAACAGTAAAAATCGTAATTTGAACATCTTATTCGATCGTATCGAGGATATCGTAAAATTGCTCGAGTTTATCAACTTGTTGATCTTTCTGCATCGAGGGACACAGCCTCGCATTGTGGAATATATTCTCGGAATCGTAAACTCTTCTACAACAACTCACAAACCGAGAAATATCGGATATTCGTATATGACAAGAGAATTACTGTGGCATAGTTTAATGGAATTATTTACTATCGGTCTACCTATGATTAATTTCCATTATATAAAGCACACATTGAAGAAATTGTTTACACGGTCAAAATCCGCCAATTTGCTACGTACTTTTCCGACTATGAATTTATCTACCAAATGTGCCTATTGCGCCGATACTCCTATTTTACCTGTTCATGCTGGTTGCCAGCATATATTTTGTTATTATTGTTTGAGCGCTCATTTTACCGCAATGAGTGAATTCCAGTGTTTTGAATGTGGCATGAGACTCTACATTGGTAATATGAAAGCGTACGAACCAAATGCATTATCTATTTAAGTTTTTGACCCATATGTGTACATACATATATATATCTGTATTTATATTACATACATTTGTACAAGCATTGTGTTCCTTTTTTTTTTATTAAAAATAGCAATACAAAATTTTCTTGATTTGCTTGATACAACATTTCAATTTATTCGGCGTTTCCTTCGAAACGAATCGATAATGGATCAGGTATACAATACATATATTCGTCGCCTATCGGAATAATTGGATTATCGTATAAAAATATCATGCCGCTTTATAATAAATCGTTTTCCGTTTCGTAAATCCCGGCAACACGCATTACGTATATCGATCATTGATTTATCTATTATCGTTTTACTTGCTTAATGGGCGGGGACGTCCTTCTGTTACCTGGCAATACTTGAATGAACGCAAACGAATCAAGTCATTCAAGAGGAAAATAATGGACGAAAAATTTTAACACACATTAGAATTTTTATTTATTTTTTTCTTCATTTTTTTTTTCTTTTTTTTTTTTTTTTTTTTGAACATCTCAATTCTTTTGGTTTTTTACTCTTTTTGGAAGTTTTTTTTTTTTTTTTTTTTTTTTCTTGAACATCTCAATTCGTTTGGATTCTAACTCTTGTTGGAATGTTTTTTTTTTTTTTTTTTTTTCCCTCTTCGATAATACGTGCGTTTTGCGAGCATGCGATCGCCGTTCCAACGATTCAAAAAATTTATTAAATTGCACGTATCAAGGGATGCTATAGCCACGCCTATTTCATTGTTTCGTCGATTTAAAAAAAAATCTCGAGCGCGATTTTATCTTGTACGACCTGAGATATTTACATAGATATAAATAATTCTACCGCATCCCGCTAATACTAAGTCTCTGTTAAATCGTAGTATCTCTTGACTTTTTTATAGGCACTAATGAAAGCTACATCAAATCACATTGTTAGACGAACGTATTATTCTTTCTTTTTTTGGTTGAAAGAAATACGAGATCGCATCGACAAAGTATACGAGATAAAACGCGTAACGTTACGAAACGAGTCGGAACGTTGCATTCCGTTTTATTCGTTACCTTCCGATAACACGATTCCTTTGAATCATATTTCATTGTTTTTATCGTTTCAATGCGGATTGTGAAAAAAATATGATGGTGCATGATCAAATTGCCATCATGATAGATATATAAATATATATATATATATACATATACATATATTTTTTACAAAACAACGCATCTTATCAATATATTACGCGTCGCGAATGCACCATCTTCGGTAATATATCGACAATATTTATTATTATTCTGCGCGTAGAAGCATGCTCCAGAAAGGCATGTTCGGTCAGTCGAGTGATCCAGTTCAATTTTTTTTACATTATATACATCTTTCGTTCTCTCTTCCTCTTCTTCGTTTCACTTTGTTTTTTTTTTTCGTTCGTATGCATAGAAAAGAGAAAAATAAAAGAAAAAAAAAATTAAAGAAAATGTCAATTTAAAGAAAATGTTTTCCAAGTTTCCAAGCGTACGAGATAGATCGAGAAAGAGAGAAAGAGAAAGAGTGATACGTCAAGAAAATTGCCATTTTTAAAGATGACAGGAAACAGGATGAACCATCGGCTTGCATCGCAATGTCCGAATATTAGGTATTGTACATTTCATTGTCACCTATTACCTATCATCGTTTCCTTTTTTTTCATCTTTTCTTCTTTTTCTTCTTTTCTTTCTTTTTAATTCTAATTTTTCGCGACAATTAATTAATCGGCTGAATCGCGCAAAATCAAAATCAATTCCCATACATACATACGTACGTCCATACATATGTGTGTATGCGTGCGTGTAAATATACATATATACATTATATAACTTTTTTTTCTGTAGATAGGAACATCGACGAATAGTTTAACGCATTTATTTGAGAAATAGCATTGATCGATCGATTTTAAGAATTTTGAACAAAATGAAAAAAAAAAAAAAAATACAAAGAAAACAATTATAAACTCGCGCCAATAAATTTTGGATCATCGATCAAGTTTTCTCTGAGAAACGACGATCGATGTTACGATCAAACGCTCTATCATGTTTCATCGCTATCGCAAAAACAAAAACGATAATTCTTCGTTACGAAGGCATAACAAATTGCAATTTTCATTATTCGATCATTATAACAATCAGACAAGGAAAATCGAATTTGGACCGAATGTGTTTTCGTTTATCAATGAAACGGTTTACAATACATACATTAGAAACGAGAACGACGATTGGACACAGTCTCACTTACACGCGCATGCGTATATATATTTGCACGAATGAAGAACACGTAACGTCTATTTCTTTTCTAATAAATTCGATAATTTTAAGCATAAAAAAATACCAAAAGAAAATAATTTATGCTTAAATAATTGTGAATTCTTATTGTGAATTTTTATTCACAATAGACTCAGTCAAAAACTTTTAACGGTAAAATTGCTCTTTCTCGATAAATTTGGCTGAGGCGATGTATCCAGTTATTCGACAAACAAGATGTAACTTTTATCGCTGGCCGCCATCGACAAATCGATTACCTAAATTGCGAGTGGATATTCCTACATGTTTGTGATGAGCAAAGAACGAATTCATAGCCGAACAGTTCATATATTGACAGAAAAAAAAGATATAAAATATTAATAATTTACGTAGAGCGAATAATTTTATCTTCGTAAAATAATTATTGTATAATAACGTAATAATATATGAACCAGAACATGAATATGCAGCTTTATGCGACAAAAAATATCGTTCCTCGAATATTTATCGAGTACGTACATGCTAGGAAAGGAAAAAAGAAAAAAAAAAAAATAAAAGAAGAAAGAGAAAAGAAATTACGACGACCGATTATCGAAGATTATTTAGCTGCAAATTTGTTCGGCAGGCAAATTTTATATAAATTAATGTTACAATTAAACTCGAATCAGGATATTTTTGATATTTCAAAGAAAAACTTTTCTCTATATATTAAAGATACTCGATTCGAAATATTCCCCAGACGTTTCGTTAACCGCCTCCTTCGATTCGCTTCGTGGAAGAATCATTTGCAATAACTCGACGTGCATTCGTCGTCTTTCGCGAGTGAATAATAAATACTTTATTACAATGTAAAACTCGAAAACGCGGCTGCTGCGAGGAAAGCTGCTTACACTCCGCGTTTTGCCGAATTTCGAGCTTAGTCGAGATTAAATATTTTAACATTACTTAAAGCGAAAGATCGCCGAACGTACGGGACATCCCTCGCCCATCGCGCGTAAACAATAGTTTCGAAGTCTTACTTTTTTTCTTTTTCTTTTTTTTTCTTTTTTTCTTTTTTTTTTTTTTTTTTTTTTTTTTTTTTTTTTTTTTTTTTTTTTTTTTTTTTTTTACGCACTTCGTTGTACTAATTTAACCGTTATCACTAATTCATACCGTACGCCTATCATTCAGTCGTATCACGAACTTTTCACCGTTTTACACAAAAACACATACGATACAACGCGTCGAAACGACACAACAAGTCGGAGCATCGCGTTCCATGCTCCGTTTACAAAAAAAATACGATACGAAAAAAATCATCGATTCGTCGAATATATATCGCGCGACCACGATAGAAAGACCATTAGCATAACATAAAAAAAAAGCTAACGAAACGAAAGTAGCAACGAGTTCCTTAACCTAAGACACCTTCTGACCGCGTGAATCGAGGATTCTATGGAGGGGAAAAAAAAAAAAAAAAAAAAAAAAAAAAAAAAAAAAAAAAAAAAAAAATGGATCCTCGACCACAAAAAGAATCAACCGCCTATTCTTTCGGTGCCTAGAATCGCAAATTAACATACCAATTATACCACTTTGATCCTACTGTCGAGTCGGCGAAATGGCCCGCGTGATTTTCGATTTCTCAATCTCGATTATCGTTTCAAGGATCGGATCTGTGATCTTTTGCGAACTTTTTAAGTACAACGCGGTCCTGTCCGATTTCGTCCTCACGAACTCTTGCGAGATTCGTAACAATTCTTCGTCTTTGCTACCATTTGGTATCCAGATTACACTTCTCCATTGACGACGAGGTCGTAGATGTGGTCGTTTTACGTTCCGCGCCAGGCGCAGCACTACCGCAGAATGGACTAGTCCGCTTGTTCATTTCTGGAAATGAGATCTTCGGTTGAGAATAGAGGCGATCGTTTGTGAACGATTATAGTTGCAATGCGGAATGCGATTTAGCCCGTTTACGTACCAGCGATTAACAGCATTATTTTACGCCTCGCGCCCCAAGCGGTTATCCCAATTTCGCACAGATCTTTTTCCGTCAGCGAAGGAAAGGTAGCCATGTCCACTTCGTGAGATGTGAACAGGCCTGGCAAACAGAAAACAAGCGGCATGTATAACGAGCAAGCGAATAAGCTAGATTACGTGATACATATGTGTATATGTTTATCGTTCGTTTGTTGCAATAGTGACATCACGAGGGGAAAAAAACATCGGTTTTTACATCAATAGAGTTTAAATGTTTGAAATCGTTAGAAAAATGAATAAATAATAATTGAGCTTGCATTTAAATTTTAAGTTTACTTTAATTGCTAATGATTTTTATTCATTACATGAAAAAAATATAAAAATTTATATTTATATTATATTTAATATATATTTATATTAAATAATAAAATCAAAGAATGATTATTGTACGAATTTTGAATAATTTTAAGAATCAATCAAAATTATTAAGATTTTAATTCGTGACAAAATCTTTCCAGAAGAAAGAATAAAAAGGGAGGAAAAGAAATAAAAGTATAATTAGAGATTTTATAAAATTTTTGATTCAAATTTAAAAATTAAATTTTAATCTCTGATAAAAATATTACATTGAATAAAAGCCACTGAATATAGTGGTTAAACCAAAAGTAACCCATATCAATAGATCCAACTTATCTAATTTTTCGTTATCTAATTAACGTCCTCTCCGACTGTTAAGTCGATGAGGAGAAAAAAATGGTGAGATTATAAGGTTTGTAAGGTCACATTGGAAGCTCATATGTGGAAAATCGTAAAATCGTATTACAATAAAAAAACAAAATACATATAACACTGACAAATAAAACTATAAATTTTCAGTTATGTCACTATTGTCACAGCAAGATGATAGATATTGGTGCATGCGGACGATCAACAAGCAAAAGCCGAAAATCCAAAGTATTATATACGTACGAATGTATTTTTCCAATCCAACGGAAGTCAGCATGCTGGTCAAGTCGTCATACCGATTAGACGTGATATTCTTGAGGTGCGCGCTAGGCGTATGCTCCAAGTAGTTTGAATTTATGCCGATCTGACCGACACGGTCTTTGCCGGAATTGATTCCAAAGTCAATGTCTCTGCTAAATACCGACGCTGTTGGTTCCTTCCACAAATCGGATGGATGGGAGGTGGTCAATTCCTGCGTTTTCGAAA